AGCTCACTGGTGGAAGAAAATAGGACGCCTTTTGTAGGAAACAGCTTGAGGTACCGTAGGACTTTGATTGCAGCCTGATAGTGTGGAAGTAGAGGATTGGAAACAAATTGACTTAGCTGTTGAACATCATAAGAGATATCTGGTCTGGTGTTGGTGAGATAAATCAATTTTCCAATTAACTAGCGATAAGACGAGGGATCCTGCAAAGCTTGACCAGTAGAAGTAGATAGTTTCAGGTTGGGATCAAAAGGCACTGAGGAAGGTTTGCAAGCAAGTAGGTCTGTTTCTTCAAACAACTCCAGAGCATATTTCCTCTGATTCAAAAAAATGCCTTTGTTTGATCTAGAAATTTCAAAGCCTAAAAAGAAATGCAGCTGACGAAGATCCTTGATTTTAAATTGCTGATCAAGAACACCCTTGACAAGCTGAATTTCCTGATGAGAGTTCCCTGCAAGAACTATGTGATCAACATAAACAAGTAATGCAGTGAAACTGTCTTTGGTCACCTTTGTGTACAAGGAATGGTCTGCCTGGGACTGAGAATAACCCAAAGAAAGGAGAAAATTGGACAGTTTGGAATACCACTGTCGACTTTCTTGCTTTAAACCATATAAGGATTTTTGCAACTTGCATACCTGATTAGAACTGGAAACAGAAAGACCAGGTGGAACAGACATATATACCTCCTCATTTAAGTCACCATGCAAAAAAGCATTGTTCACATCCAATTGCTCCAAGTACCAACCCTTAATGGCAGCAATGGATAAAAGAACATGAACTGTGGTGATCTTAGCAACTGGAGAAAGTGTGTCAAAGTAATCAACCCCTTCAAGTTGAGTATAACCCTTTGCAACAAGTCGAGCTTTATACCTTTCAATGGAGCCATCAACCTTATATTTGATCTTGTACACCCATCGACATCCAATGGGAACCTTTCCATGAGGCAAGTCCACTACAGTCCAAGTGTGATTCTTATCAAGGGCCTGCAATTCAACATTCATGGCATCTTTCCAACAGTCATGCTTAATGGCTTGTGAATATGTTTTAGGTTCAATGTTTGTAGAAATGGAATAGCAAAGATTTTTATATGCAGGAGAACAATTACTATAAGATAAGACAGAAGAGAGAGGATACACAACTTTGGGAGCATGAATAGAATTAGGAGTATGAGCAGAATAACAGTGGTAATCCGCTAGGTAACTTGGTGGGTTTGAAGATCTAGTGGACTGTCTTAAAGGCAAGACAGAGGTAGCTGTAGGCTGAGAGGAAGGGTCAGCAAGAACAGTATGGGCCTGATGGGAATTAGGAGACATGAGAGCAGAACTGTCATTAAAAGGACCATTGGGAGATGAGCTAGGAGGAATTGACTCAGCAGATGGACTGGAGGATAAAGGTGTAGGAGATGTATCAAGGGGTGACAGATGTGTAGGGCTGCTGTTAGATGATGTGTCTATAGAAGAAGGAGGAGTCAAGTCAGTGGTACTGGTGTGTACATTAAAAGTAGATGGTGAGGGCATGTCAAGAAAGTCCATGGATAATGGAGAATTGTGACAGGGAGAAGTAGATGGGACAGAAGGCAATTTAAGAGGGAATGTATGTTCATAAAAAATGACATTCCTTGAAACAGAGATAACATGACTTTAGAGATTATAAACTATGTACCCTTTGGTACCATCTCTAAAGCCAAGAAAAATAGCCTTGTGAGCTCTAGGATCAAATTTTGTCCTATGTGCCTGTAAAGTAGAGGCAAAACATAAATAACCAAATACTTTTAAGTGAATAAGGGAGGGAGGTTATTTGTACAAGAGCTCATAAGGTGATTTTGATTTTAAGAGAGGAATGGGCAGCCTGTTGATAAGATGAGTGGCATGTTGCACACAAAAATTCCATAGAGTTAAAGGAACATTAGAATGGAAGTAGAGGGATCTAGCAACATTTAATATATGTTGGTGTTTTCTCTCAACCACCCCATTTTGTTGGGGTGTTTTAACACATGATTTTTGATGGATGATTCCTTTAGACAACAAAAAATCATTAAGAGCAAGAAACTCTGTACCATTGTCAGACCTAAGGCACTTAAGGGAAGTTTTAAACTGATTTTCAATATAAGCTACAAACTGAATAAGACTAACTTTAGTTTGGTCTTTAGTTTTGAGAAAAATGACCCAAGTATACCTAGTGAAATCATCAACTAAGGTCAAGAAATATTTATGCCCCAAGGTGGATATAGTAGAGAAGGGCCCCCATATGTCAGCATGTAGAATATTAAAAGGAGCATAGGAATTAGAAGTACTATTGGGAAAGGGAAGCTTTCTTTGCTTAACAAAGTGACAAGATTCACATGGATCAAGTTTAGTATTACAAGTAATAAAGGGAAACAACTTTGAAATTTCTTGTAAACCTAAATGAGGTACATGACCAAGTCTTAAATGCCATGTATTACATGAAGCACTATTAACAGAAGGAACAAAGGAGTGGTGGCTTGTGGTCTCAAGAGTATAGAGTCCCCTTTGCACATTAGCTATACCAATCATTGCCTTGGAATGGTTCTGCATCATATGACAGGCATTAACATGGAATTGAACAAAACAATTGTTGCTATCAACAAGCTTAGCAATAGATACAAGATTAACATGAAAACTTGGAATGTACAAGACATGGTGTAAAGTCAAGAGAGGAGAGATGACAACAGTGCCAGCTATTGAAGCAACAACTTGAGAACCATTAGGCAGATTAACAGGAATAGGAACTATATTTTTATGGTCCTGAAATAAAGAGAGATCAAAGCTAATATGGTCGGTGGCTCCAGTATCAAGGATCCAAAGATTAGAAGTCTTACCATTGACATTGGAGTGAGAGTTTAAGGCAAAAGGAGAGGTGGATATGGAGTTGGCTTGGGAATTAAGATGTGACTGTTGTAGCAATACCAAGATGTTATTGTACTTCTCTTGAGTAAGACCAAACGAGGGTGCAGTAAAGGAGCCTGTGGATTGATTCTCAGAGGCATTATTGGCCATAGCAGCTGGTTGAGAATTAACAGTGGTACCTGTAACTTTACCTTTGCCTTTGTAACCGGGTGGGAATCCATGCTTGAGAAAACAAGTTTCAACAGTATGGTTGGTCCTACCACAATGTGTACACACCCTAGCATGACCTTTAGGACCATAATTGCCGTGGGATTTCCCTTTGACAGAATTGCTATAGCCAGATTTACCATTGGAATTACTCTGAGCTTGAACATTCAAAGCTGTAACTTCTTCAACAGTGCTAGCAGGGGAAACCATATTGGAAACAAAACTATTCATTTCTCTTTCTTGTTGGATAATAAGAGAGAAAGCCTTATCAATGTTAGGAAGGGGATTCATCATCATAATCTGGGATTTTGAGTGCGTGAATTTGTCATTCAACCCCTTCAAGAAACATAGAACATAGTCTTGTTCTCTATATCGCTGAACAGACGCGATAGCACCACAGGAGCATGGAGTAGCACAAGTACAAACAGGAATGGGGCGATAATTCTCAAGTTCATCCCACAAAACTTTCATCTGAGTAAAGTAATTAGAGACATCGAGTGTACCTTGACGAAATTTGTACAATTCCTCTTAGATGTCTGAAATGTGGAAAATATCGCCATGAGAGAACCTAATTTGCAAGTTCCTCCAAACACCAGCTGTGTTATCGATCCATAGCACTGACTTCGCAATTGACTCAGAAATTGAACGTTGAATCCAAGCAATGACCATAGTATTACACCGAATCCATGGTGCGTAAAGAGGATCAGATACCGGTGGTTTAGGAAGGGTTCCGTCAATAAACTTGTCCTTGTTCTTGGATATCAATGCAATCTGCATCGAACGCGCCCAAATGTGGTAGTTGTTGACGTCAAGAGGAGGAGACACGAGCACAAGCGTTGGGTTTTCGTTTGGATGCAAATAATAGGGATTAGCTGAATTGGCGGAGAAATCTGCATAACTCTGTAGGCCATTGAAGCAGAAGAAAGAACGCAAAGAATCGCGATCGAAGAGAAACAAGAAGATGAACAAAAGAATGCAGAAATCGAGAAATACGAAGGAGAGAAGAAATACAGATAACTTTCAATCGATGCTGCAGGAGAAGAAGAGACAATGGCTACCAGAGCTTGATAAGCTCTGATACCATATCAACAATGGTGATGTATGCCATTGGTGGAGATGAAAGTAACAGAAAAATAACATAATAACAGAATGCAACAGAATGTAAAGATTGTGCAGAGAAGAAAAAGGATGAAGAATACTGTTTCATTGATTGAGAAATGTGTACATGAGATAATGATATATATACAACTCAAGAGTAAATAACAGCCATTGGATGAACAAGAAATATATATGCTAAGTACACTAAACTAGTATATAAGCTAATAATGTGCAACATTTGAACCTATAACCTTATATTAAAGTCAGAACCAGTACACCAATTAAAACATTTGTGTTTTAGATGTTCCATTAAATAAATTTAATTATTATTATTATTTATGTATAAATATTTTAGAAATCTCATTAATAAAAAATTTCAAAAGACGAGATAGAGCAAAGCTAACACTTTAGAGATTGCAGATTTAAACTTTTAATCTACTTCTTACTAAAGACAGGATAAAACACACATGTTCAGGAGATGAAATTCATTTTTCCACTCCAAATTAAAATGATTTTCAATCTAAAAGAATTACAGTAGACTTCAAAATAAAGTTATTGACAACAATTTTATTCGACAAAAGAGAACAAAATCATTAAATAATACAAAAAGCGTCAAATTCTAACCAAGATTCTGCTATATGCACCAAACAATATTTAAATAATATTTAATTCTTTCTGCATTATCAAACAAACTTTTTTCTTCTATATAAACCAGTTCAAAACAACAACTCCTTCACCTTCAAAACCAAGTTCATCACAGGTAAGTTCATTTCATGAGAGTTTACTAACCTTAACTTCACGTGACAGAGTTCACCCAAACACTTCAATATGACATCTTCAACAGTCGATACCTGCAAATTCGATGATTTGCAGGTTGACATTGAGAAGAACGTGCCACAGGATGTGAGGTCTCAGTGGATTCTTAATGCTCCCGAGCCTCCAAGTCCTTGGCATGTTGCTGCAGATTCTGTGAGGAAAACTGTTTCTAGCTTTAGAGGCAAAGTTTCCTCTCTAAATGATCGATCTTGCGGTACGGTCCTACTTTCGGCTTTGCAGGTTGTTTTTCCTATTCTTGTTTGGGGCAGAAGCTACACTGCTGCTAAATTTAGGAAAGATTTTCTTGCTGGACTCACTATTGCTAGCCTATGTATTCCACAGGTAATTTTAATCCATTGAGCCGCTATCACGTACTCGCGCTCTATAGGGTTGAGACCTGAGATAGCGCTCAGGTCTCAAGTTCGAATTCTGCTAAGTGCGAACAATTTTTATGTTGGGTCAGTCTAGTCAGAGTCTCACTTGGATTAGTTTGTCTTAGAGCTGGATACTGAGGTATTTGAATCTAACTAAATGGTTTCATGTTTCAATGCAGAGCATAGGGTATGCAACATTAGCAAACCTTGCTCCTCAATATGGACTATGTAAGCTACTTAAAAAAAAATTTATATGTCATTTCTTTTTTTTTTCCTTCCCAGTTATTATAACTTAATGGAATGGTATGGAATGAAATGGAATAGATACGAGCGTTGTGCCACCGCTGATCTATGCTGTAATGGGAACTTCGCGCGAGATAGCAATTGGTCCTGTGGCTGTGGTTTCGTTGTTGTTATCATCAATGGTACAGAAACTAGTAGACCCTTTTGCTGATCCCGTTGGTTATACAAAGCTTATTTTTCTTGCCACTCTCTTTGCTGGAATCTTTCAAACTTCATTTGGACTATTCAGGTGAAAATTTACTATAAGCGCTTTGTTTTTAACTTCTATATATCTGTAGTCATTTTTATGAAACTGTTTTGTTTTGTTATAACAGGTTGGGGTTCCTTGTGGATTTTCTGTCACATGCTGCAATTGTTGGATTTGTAGCAGGAGCTGCAATTGTGATTGGGCTTCAACAGTTGAAGGGACTGTTTGGAATCACTCATTTTACAACCAAAACAGACATAATCTCTGTCTTAAAAGCTGTCTGGGAAGCATTTCATAATCCTGTATATTTACTACTTTCTCTATCCATTTACTTTTTCACATTTTTTTCTATAAATAGTATATAAACATTTTAATCCAAAAAGTCAAGGTTTGCTTTTTCACTTTTTTCTTTTTCTTCTTTGAAAGTATATGTTTGATCATATTAATTTTAAGACCTAAACGAATTTCGATATTGTTAGACTGAACACCTGTCTCAAATTCAAACTCAGGACCTCGTAGTTGTGTGCATGAGTTTCTGATAATTATTATCACTTAATCTACAAACAAAAAGAATTATTAATATTAGTATAAATTGAATTACATGCAGTGGAACCCTCATAATTTCATCCTGGGAGGATCTTTCTTAGTGTTCATCCTAACAACTAGATTTCTGGTGAGTGTTATTGCTGAACTACTACATGTAGCTAGTTTTTGTTTGAATTTAATATCCTCACATTAATGTTCAATGTTATTTTTGCATAATTGATTTTCAGGGTAAAAGGAAGAAGAATCTGTTCTGGTTGGCATCAATTGCACCACTTGTATCTGTTATACTGTCAACTCTAGTTGTTTTTCTAACTCGAGCCGATAAAAACGGAGTAAAAATTGTGAAACATGTCAAAGGAGGACTCAATCCAATCTCTATCAACCAGTTAGACTTTAACAGTCCACATGTTGTCGATGTTGCCAAAATCGGACTTGTTGTCGCGGTGGTTGCTCTTACCGTGAGTAATTACTTTCATTTCGATCCCTTTGTTTGAAATTAATATTTGTTTGTTTCCTTTTATTTTCATGTTAATTTACATTTGATATTATAGGAATCCGTTGCTGTTGGACGATCTTTTGCGTCGATCAAAGGATACCAGCTCGACGGAAACAAAGAAATGATGTCAATAGGCTTCACAAACATCATAGGATCTCTCACCTCATGTTATGTTGCAACTGGTACTAATAGTCGTTTTATAACGGTTTTCAAGAAGATTGAAATTTCGTCTGAGATTATAAAATCATACTCTTACTATGTTAACTTCTGATATGTATTGTGGCAGGTTCATTCTCTCGAACCGCGGTTAATTATGCTGCAGGATGTGAAAGTTTAATATCAAACATTGTGATGGCAATTACAGTGATGATATCACTACAGTTTTTGACAAACCTATTGTATTATACACCAATTGCTATCATTGCATCAGTTATCCTCTCTGCTCTACCGGGACTCATAGACATATCTGAAGCATACAAAATTTGGAAAGTTGATAAGCTTGACTTTCTTGCTTGCGTTGGAGCCTTCTTCGGTGTACTCTTTGCTTCCGTCGAGATTGGTCTTCTAGTCGCGGTAATCATTTCTCAATTCTTGACATGACTTCACTATAAAACTATTCATGAACAAAAATTTAGAATGCGACTTCTCCATATAAAATATATCACATATAATCAGGGTTGTCTTTGAGGATGCACAAAATACGTTACAGCGCAGACCTCAAATTTTTCAAGACAAAATTATGGTTAAATACGGCCTCATAATAGATCTTTCATGGTTAAACCATAAAATCAATGACACACGAAACCTTGTCAAAAAGACGATAATGTATCGGTCTATTTATGAAGTCAATGACACTACGAGTGGATAACTCGCAACTTAGTTCTATACTATTTAAGTGTATGTTTTGAGATATCCAAACATAGAAATTTTAATTCAATTATTGATATAAACTCAATGGTGATGGCATGTGTTTATACTTTAATTTTCCATGTATTATACTATAAAGTAAGGTTATTATTCTCCACTACATCACAGGAACAACATTTTTGGCACTAAGTGTGATGCAGAATGGATATGCAGCATTAAAAAATCCCACTTGTTTGGACGCATTAATCTTGAAAACTATATCCACCTATTGAATTAACTCTTTTAGAATATGATTTTCCTAACGTTGCAATCACACATATAAAGTTTTCAAGTATCAACACTTTATAGTGTGAGGTCAACTTGTATATCTTAGTTGAAATTTTTATTAATGGAATTTGTAGTCTAGTAGCTTTCTCTTTTGAAATAAAATCATAGCTTAATTAAGATTAATAAATTAAATGATATATAATTTTGGATTATCATAATTGGCAGGTGGTAATATCTTTTACAAAGATAATTCTGATATCAATTCGACCGAGCACAGAAACATTAGGAAAACTTCCAGGAACTGATTTGTTCTGTGATGTTGATCAGTATCCTATGGCGATTCAGATTCCAGGTGTAATCATAATACGTATGAAATCCGCGTTGCTTTGTTTCGCGAATGCCAATTTCGTTAAAGAAAGGTATTAATAATTATGACTTATGAGTATAAAAAACTAGCATTCATGCATGATCTGATTAATTAATTATGTTCAAATTTGGTTTCAAGAATCATCAAATGGGTGACTCAGGAAGAATCAGAAGATGACAAGGGGAATTCAAAGAGTATAATTCAACTCGTAATTCTTGACACCTCGAGTAAGATTTCTATAATTTTGTTACAATATCTCTGAACAGTACGATATTGACTCTGCCGCATGAAAAGCATGCGGCAGAATAAATCATGTAATAAAACATTCTGATAGTTGATATGTTGTTATAGATTTGGTGAACATTGACACTTCTGGAATTGCTTCTCTGGAGGAACTGTACAAGAGTTTGTCTTCACAAGGGAAACAGGTAAATTTATATTCGATTAAGTTAAAACGGTGTTTCATGCATGCTTCATTAGTTTTTGAATGAATGAATACAATGATCTTATACCTATTTTGTTATGTTTTATTGGTAAGTTGGCGATTGTGAATCCGAGGTGGCAAGTTATACACAAGCTGAAGGTGTCGAAGTTTGTCGACAAAATCGGTGGGAGAGTTTATCTGACTGTTGAAGAAGCTGTTGTTGCAGGCTGCAAGAGTAATCAGTTCTGAAAAAGTTGTAATGTATGAATTAATGGCTACTTATTATTCAACTTTTCTTATGTCTCTTTGTATAATTAGGAGATACATATGCGTGTGTAAAATAAGCTTTCCTAGTTTTCTGAGTTGGGTTTCCTGTCCCAAGTTTGTTATGCACGAAATGGGACATTGGAATAAGTTGAAAAATGCTATTTTGACACTATTTCTTACACCCCATACATACCCCGTATGCACCGATAAGTTATGTGATAATTTCGATATTCTTGTTAGAGGTGTATGAATCATGATAAGTTTCTTCTGTACATGTGTATGTTTAATGATAAATAAATTAACCAAATTCATATGGTGTGGGATAAATAGTTGGGACCAACTTCTTGGTCCTTAGAAATACAAAGCTATTATTACAAGATTACGAGATTAAATATAGTGTTTTAACCACTGTGCATTTGGTATCCTGCCCATGCAAAACTAAAACTATAAATACTTTTGTTAGATATCATAGTTACTTGATGGACAAGTTTTCTATTTTTTTATTTATATTTTAGTTGGTTAGTTAATTTTTTAGGAAGTTGATTAGTTAGTTAGCCAATCAATTTCTTTTAATTTCTCTATATAAAGAATATCACTTTCATAGTGAATGTATGAAAACTATCATTCTTTCCTTAACAGTGAAGGGTTTATTTCTTTGCAAGTTATTTCATTAATATGGTATTACGAGCAATTTTAGCTTTCTTTCCTCACCTTTGATGTCTTCTTTCTTTTTGTTTATCTGTTCAATGTCATTTGTCAATTATGGAGATTTCTCAACCAATTCTTCTAATCTTTATTATTTTCACCTTAACGAAAGTCCAACTCTCATTCTTCTTTCACCTCCACTGGAACAAGAATTATTATTTTTGGGCTCGTTCAATGCACATGTTGCATTGATCTCTAAGAACAAATAAAAGTTTGTAGATGAAACTCTTCTCAAACCTAATATATCTGATATGTTGTATGCACCTTGACTATGCTGCAACATTATGGTCCTTGCATGACTTCATCGTTTCTGTTAAGAGTCCCACATCAGACAATATATGGCATGAACATGTGTTTATAAGTGGGGGTAATCCTCACTCTACCAGCCGGTTTTGTAGGGTTGAGTTAGACCCAACCACATTTCTTAACATGGTATCAGAGCTTGGTTTAAGATCCGGTGGGCCACCTTATATGGTTTCCGCTATCGGGCCACCCACCATTTATTTCCACGCTTCAGTTGTCCAGTCCTGAGCGTGAGGGGGTGTGTTAAGAGTCCCACATCAGACAATATATGGCATGAACATGTGTTTATAAGTGGGGGTAATCCTCACTCTACCAGCCGATTTTGTAGGGTTGAGTTAGGCCCAACCACATTTCTTAACATAGAATATATAAATAGATTACACCTAATTACATAATATAGTCGATGTGGGACTATTCTATATACAAATATTCTTAACACTTTATATATATATTTACAAATATCAACACTCCCCCTCAAGCTTGAGCATATAAGTCAAATGCACCAAGCTTGTTACATATATAGTTAGTTCTGGGGCTTCGTAGGGATTTTGTAAACACATCTGCCAATTGATCATTAGAGTTGACAAAGCTTGTGACGATGTCGCCTGACTCGATCTTCTCTCTGACAAAGTGACAGTCTATCTCAATATGTTTGGTCCTCTCATGAAAGACTGGATTTGAAGCAATGTGCAATGCAGCTTGATTATCACAAATAAGTGTCATTGGTCTTGCTTCTTCAATTTGAAGTTCCTTAAGCAACTGTTTTAACCAAATAAGTTCACATGTTGCCATTGCCATCGCCCTATACTCTGCCTCGGCGCTTGATCTTGCAACTACATTTTGTTTCTTACTTTTCCAGGATATAAGGTTTCCTCCAACAAGTACACAATACCCAGAGGTGGATCGTCTATCAATGGGTGACCCTGCCCAATCAGCATCAGAGTATCCAATTATCTGGGTATGTCTTTTATCCTCATACACAAGACCTTTTCCTGGAGCACATTTGATGTATCTCAAAATCCGGATAACAGCATCCATATGTTCCTGACAAGGGGAATTTAAAAACTGGCTTACCACACTGACTGCAAAAGAAATGTCCGGACGAGTGACTGTGAGATAATTCAACTTTCCAACCAATCTCCTATACCTTCCTGAGTCAGATAGAGGCTCCCCCTGATTGGGTAGTAATTTAACACTTGGATCCATAGGAGTATCGGCTGGTTTAGCATTTAACAAACCTGTTTCTTCCAAAATATCCATAGCATATTTCCGTTGAGAAATCACTAAACCATCTTTAGATTGGGCTACTTCAATACCCAAGAAATAACGGAGTTTACCAAGATCTTTTGTCTGAAATTGTTTCGAGAGATGTTGTTTCAACTGGAGTATTCCCTGCTGATCACTACCAGTTATGACAATGTCATCTACATACACAATAAGATAAATACACCCTTGGGGTGAGTGACGATAAAAAACAGAATGGTCAGCTTCACTACGGATCATACCAAACTGTTGTACTACAGTGCTGAATCTGCCAAACCAAGCTCTCGGAGATTGCTTAAGACCATAAAGAGACCTGTGTAGCCTACAAACCATATTCAATGACTCCCCCTGAGCAACAAACCCAGGTGGTTGCTCCATATATACTTCCTCTTCAAGATCGCCATGTAAGAATGCATTTTTGATGTCAAGTTGATGAAGAGACCAATGTCGAATGGCTGCAATGGCTAGAAGAAGTCTAACAGATGCCATCTTGGCTACAGGTGAAAAGGTATCACCATAATCCAACCCAAAAATTTGAGTGTATCCTTTGGCTACTAAGCGAGCTTTAAATCGATCAATCTTGCCATCTGGACCAACCTTCACTGTATAAAGCCAACGACAACCTACTAAAGATTTTCCATGGGGTAGAGGAACCAGTTCCCAGGTACCACTGCTTTGAAGAGCACACATTTCATCAATCATTGCTTGCCTCCACTCAGGGTGAGATAATGCTTCACCTGGAGTTTTAGGAATAGAAACAGAAGACAAAGAAGACAAACAAGTATACTGCAAAGGGGAAAGACGATGATAACATAAATCAATATAATGTGGAGAAGGATTTCGTGTTTGACGTATACCTTTTCGAAGGGCAATCGGAAGATCAAACTCAGGTTGCAGGATCGAATCCGGTGATGGCGAGAGCGTCGGAGGAGAGTCCGTAGTGACCTCAGGGACAGGTACAACTTCAGGGACAAGTACGACTACAGGGACAGGTACAACTTCAGGGACAGGTACGACAGACTTTGGGTGACGACGCTGATATGTTTGAAGTGGGCGAGTGGGGGGGTCAACCGTAGGGGTAACTAGTGGGTCAGGTTCCCTAGAATGATGGGGGATAATGACAGATGGGACTTCCGGAAGAGGTGTGGGAATACTTTCCCGTAGAGGTTCTGTAGTTACTTGGCTGGATTCGAAATATGGAACAGACTCGAAGAAGGTAACATCGGCGGATACGAGGTATCGTTGTAGAGTATGTGAGTAGCAACGATAACCTTTTTGGGATCGATGATAGCCAAGAAAGACACACTTTAGTGATCGAGCTGATAGTTTATCAAGACCAGGGGAGAGATTGTGTACAAAACACGTTGACCCGAAGACTCGAGGAGGAATTGGGTGGAGTGGAGAGTTTGGAAACAGGATTGAATGAGGGATTTTATTATTAAGGACAGATGAGGGCATGCGATTTATGAGGTAACATGCTGTGAGCACCGCATCTCCCCAAAACCGGAGAGGAACATTACCATGGAGAAGTAGTGTCCGAGTGGTTTCTACGAGGTGCCGATTTTTGCGTTCGGCTACCCCGTTTTGTTGGGGTGTATGAGGGCAAGATGTTTGGTGCAAAATACCATTGGATGACATAAATGTTTGAAATTGTTGGGATAAATATTCACGTGCATTGTCACTTCTTAGGGTACGAATAGATAAACCAAATTGGGTTCTTATTTCTCGATAAAATTGTTCAAAAATAGAAAACAATTCAGACCTGTTCTTCATTAAAAATAACCATGTGCAACGTGAAAAATCATCAATAAAGGTTACAAAATACCTAGACTCAAAAGTAGACACGGTACGTGAGGGACCCCAAACATCGGAGTGGACTAAAGCAAAAGGGGACGCAGCACGTTTATTGACTCGATCGGAAAAGTGACTACGAGTATGTTTCCCTAACTGACAAGACTCACAATGTAAAGTGGATAATTTAGATAAACTGGGCACCAACTTTTGTAGCTTGGGAAGACCTGGATGACCTAACTGCGCATGTATAATGAGTGGAGAATCTGTGGTGGAGCATGTGGTAGATGACGTAGAGAAGTAGTAGAGGCCTTAACACTTTATATATATATTTACAAATATCAACAGTTTCATTAGCAAATTTATTGCAAGATCAATTCTTTTGATCAAATCTGTTGTTGTAGTATGGTTAAACCTGGAGACTCGGTTCTCTCAAAGCGACATTTTTCAAATCTCTGATATTCAGGAAGAACTCTACAAGCTTCAACAAGGTATTTTAGACATTTCAGATTACTTCACCAAAATAAAGGTTCTTTTTGATGAGTTAGAGAATTATTGTACAACTCCTTATTGCAAATGCTCGATTCAATGCAGCTGCAATGTCATTGCTTCTTTGTAGGTTTATCGAGATCAAGATTGTGTCTTTTGCTTTCTTAAAGAACTTAACGAAAAGTTCAGTGCCACCAAATCTCAGGTAATGCTTATGATTCCTTACCTAATGTTACAACTTGTTGAACATATGACTCCATACACAAAAAGGGGGGGTGTATGTTTTAGAAAAACTTGAGTTTGAAAAACTTTTAGGATCAATTTGAGAGTTTAAAAAGATTTTAAAAATTTAGAAATTAGTAGCGAAAATCAAGAATAAAATGCGGAAAGTAAATACTTAAGGGATGGAGAGATAACACCGGAAGTTTTAG